TTAATAATGAGGTTCACTAATTCGGGGGGGAAGGAGGGGCGGGCGGGCGGGCGGGCGGCAGGTTGCAGACGTTCTTTTACAGTTTTTCATCTGATATTTCTGCGAGGTGTCAGAACTGTTCCCTAAACAAAATAAATTGTGGGCATTATAATGTAAAAATTGGTTAGCGATTTCACCTCCAGTAAAGGAATTGCCAAAAGTAACATTCTTGCTATTCCCACGAAACAACCACTCATAAATATCAGTAGCGAATGAACGGTTAAGTTCGTCCTTTAACTGGGAAGGTTTCGTCCAGTCATTCATACAGTTTTCCATAAAATCGGATTGAAACTGATCCCAAAGTACAGTTTTTGAATAAAGTATTACCACAAGATCATCTTTGTCGCTTTTAAGTTCGGTTCTTTGTGAAAATAATTACTGAGGTCCAAATGGAGATATTGAGATGAAGTTATACACTGTAGGGAATAATATCACGAGAATCAAATAATAATACTCCTATTTTCCTGCACACTTAATAGACCCGTTACTTTTTACTCCGAATATGCGTCGATAGAGTTTTGTTAATCGATAGTATTGCCTACACAAATGCTCGTGCTGATTGCATAGTTTTCTGATTTCAATTGTCTATCTTTTGGAATTATTCATTCAGTTTGATTTCTTCAAAGAAAAAGCTAATTGCTGCTTTCGTATCCTCATTCGGACACCTTCTGGTTGCGAATATTGATAGGCAATTGCTGGTATGACAGCAACTCCATTCATTTGGTCTACCTGATTTCTCATTCAGTATGCACTCATATGCCTACTGCATCCGGAGTTCGTTCAATCCGTATACAGTAAAATTAAGGTCAATCGTTATGATATTGCACTTGCGGAGTTTGAACCAATATGCGTTCAGTGGGTGAGCCCTGATCGGAATCACACTCGTTTTGCAATAATTCAGTCTGTCATGGATTACCCCAGTTGACCTCACATTCAGACCAAACATTTTCATTGAGTAGCAAAATGTCTGTGTTTGGTAATTTCTAACCATAGTATCGATATTAACAAATGAGTTCAAATGGAAAGTATCATTTACTGACCTGTCAACAACATTTTTGTGAATGACTCCATAATTCTCTGGATCGTTTGGTTTCCCAACCAATGGATTTAATGAAGACAAAGGAACGCCGGCCACGCTCACTTTACTCCAGACGGGGACTTTTTAAGGGAAAGAGAAAAACATGATCAATCATCGTTTTCCTGTGCTAACCATTATGTATTGCATTTGTCGGGTGTGATAAACTAATTCACTCTTTCAAACAGTAAATTAAATTATTGTGTTTTTATAGATACATGGATTGGGGAATAAAATAGTTACAGTGGTTTGAATTCTCCACAACAAATAATACATCTATAATCATTAGTGAACTGAATTTACTGAAAGTACCTCAATAAACTTCGCGGTTTTCTTTGCTCACCAGTTTAGAAGATCCCGTTGGTATCATAAGCTTCATGATATTTTTTCATTTCACTACAATATCTTTATTTAGTTAGAGACCTGTATAGAGACGAGGTGGGGTTAGAGAAATCTGCTAATAAGTATTTTACGTACTATCAATATATTGATCTTTAAAAGTTAGATGACCTCGAACCAAATTCCCATGAGATCCGAAGGACGACGGTGTGGAATTAGATTCAGTTGTTTTATGGTTTCACCCGAATGTGTATGTATTTAAATGGAACGTTTTTAGTACCACAATAAACTAAGGATTGTTATACAATGTTATGCAGTGTACTTTTCAAATGGATGCAAATTGCATAATTATCTAGTATGTACGCTAAAGCACATTTTGATATGATACAGTAATGATGTAATGTGCTTGCCTTTGCTAACAGGCTGAGTCAAAATCACATATTTGATAGAATTTGCCAAACAGAAAACTCTACATTTGTTTTATACAGGCATTTTGAAAAAAAACTATCGGACATCGACATCGTCATTTAGGCCGAAAAATTAATATCGTGTAGAACATAGTCAGAGAGCATCTTTGGTCGAAACATTAAAGGCAGGAATACTCAATAGATGAAACACTATCAAAACCAAAAATCAATTAGAATTAGCCCCTTGAATCTGGCACGGATGAACAAAAGTAACTAAGGTTAATTACAATCCGAAGTACTAGAATTTGATTCGAAGTTGTGGTTTAAACAATGGTCGTAGCCCAAACCCTCACCAACTAAGCACAATGCAGTTTTTCGACATTCAATTTTTGTTCCCACATCTCTTCTCACACCTGAGAATCTTCTGCATTGCTTCCCTCAGAGACAGCAAACTTGAGCAATGAGACTCAAGTATTTGGTTCGTAACAGTAAAATCTGAACTGCAAAACTTACAAAGTTTAGATTAGTATAGATCGCGTATTTAAAAATTTTCTCCTAGCTCTGTTTCACTTCGCAAATGAGTATATCCGATTTATCACCGATTATTTAGCAAAGCATAGAAAAAGGTGGAATATGGCGTTTATTCATAGGCAGTTCAAAGATTTATCGTAGAGCACTTTTTTGCTGGAAACGAATTTCGGACAGAATATCTTTCAAAATAATTTGATTGATATTTATTAAATTCGTTACTAATAACACTGGATGCTTCCCCTCGGAATCGGTAGTCACTAGCTGTTTGAAAGAATTCAAAGAACTTATTGCTTAATTCAACGGCCTACAATCAACCAATCAGGGTCTATAGAACTTTACAAGCGGATATCGTGAGACATCCACTCTACGCAGTTTCTTCCGCTCTGAAATCGCAATTGTGAGCACTGTTTTCTATTTATTTTTTCCCTTTTTCAGTTTTCTTCCCTCTATTGAGTATCTAAAGACAACCTTCTGGAAGCGGGAAGCGGTTAATCAAAGGCTGTCATAAAACACAGAACAGAGGAAGTTAGGTGGTGGTGGTGGGACTCGAATACACGTCCTCCGAGGTGATAATTTTTTGTGACGCCATTACTCGGCCACTACCACTAATGAATACCCAGGGTCGGATCACTGTTTTGGCAATTTCATATAACAATACATATAAGTAGTTGTCTCTTGTATTCTTTTTAGGCAAATAAATAAGTATTCAGGGTATACCAATCATTAACGAATCAATGAGCGCGGACAGTTCAATACCAACGTTTGATTTGCTGAGTCAATTCAACCTTATCATTGATTGAGAACGTATGACGTGCGTGTGTGCTTGTGGTAACGTCAACTAGTCAATCAATCCGGCCACATGCATGCACGACAAAGGTTCTGGTTCACTCTAGATTACAACACCTCTGCTTTCGAAACCGCTGTTCCGAAGAGCGATGAGTCTTGCCTCATATTGCTCTCCTATAGTGACACCTCGATATACAAATTCACACAATCCCTTGATTGAAACAGGTGGGAAGACTAAGTGTTCCCTTGCCAAAACAAAATATACTCTTTATTCTACACTATCAGTATGCTACTGGCTTATCAGGCCATATGAATAAAAACGAAACTGGCATAAGCTCTTGGACCATGTCAGACACAATGAACACAAAATATCAAGGGAGTCGTAGTCCCTAGTTTTCCATAGGTGAAATTTCCTTTTAAATTTCTTCCATTACTTTACACCATAGATTGCTTACCACTTGAATCCCCGTGTTCACCGATGATTAGTGCATGCACTGAGGACGGAGACACTCCCAGAACCTCGCCTAACATTGTGCGAAATCGGGAGGAATCAAGCATTGTCCCGGTTCCAATCACCCGATTGGGTGGAAATCCACTCAGTCTGGCTGCGACAGAGGTGAGAATATCAACTAGAAGTTTGAATGAAAGTAACGGAGTTCCATTAAAAAGAATGACCATACTGAGATGTTTCAAACAAATTCCATTTGTACACCATAGATCAACAACCAACAAATAGACTCGAAAAAAAACGCAAAAAACGCTTACCCGAAGCATTCGTTCATAAGCATAGCAAACCAAGAATTGCGAAAGAACCGATTGCGTCAGT